TTCTGTGATATGGGGATCAGAAAGCAGGGTGCTTTTGCCACCAAGAGAGAAAATCCCAGGAGTAGTCAAACCACGTGGTTCACAAACCGTGACAGGAATGAATTACAAATAAAGCTACTCCCTGAGAATATGTCAAAAAAAGGTCACTGGCAAAGATGCTGATGGAGGCAGGAAGTGTGGATTCTAGGAGTAAACACAAGTTTCTACAATATCTGTAATACTTCAGAAAAGAAAATCCTACATGAAGACATAGATCTCAGTAAGTTAGGATGGTAGTAATATGAGTTATCAAGATGCTCAAGGCATTGAGCTATCCACAAATTTCGTAACTAAAAATACATAAAGTTAATTTTTAAAAAAAGAGCTGAATTTAAGAGAAATATGTTACATGTTATAATCAAGAAATTTCAGCTGTCACGGAAAGGCTCTTTACATAAAGTATGGCAAAAGAGTGTGGATTCCTCTGAAGGAAAGCTGGAATTGAAGAGCTAAAAAAAAAAAAAAAAAAAAAAAAAAATAATGATTGCCCTGTGTAAAGCGATTTTTCAAGTTTCCCCTTCCTTTTTGTAAAAAAAAAAAATATATGCAGTCTCTAAAGTTTGTAAGACAGATGAATATGGGGCTGTACACCAATCCAATCCCACTCGGGCATCAGTCACAGTCAGACTCACACCACGCTTGCTTCACCTCCAGAACAACAATTTCAAACCTGGCAGGAAACGCCAGCTTCTCCTTACCTCCACTGGGTCAGGCACTTCAAGTCTTGTTTCTGGAGGAGCTTTCACAACTATAACAGTTTGGTCTTTAAGGCCACTAATTTTTCGAATATCTTGGTACGTCACATAAGCTAATGTAATCACTGTTAAGGAATTTTACCAACCTGGGTTACAATATATTCAGACTACCAGAAGGGGCAGAATTCTCTGACCTATTGTTGCATTTTCTCATGGCTACGTTGCTCTTAGCCCAAAGTTTTCTATTCTCCACACTGGTTGTGATTGCAACAAAACTGCATGAAAACTTCCCCTTGATCTAACAGCTGGGGCCTCTTCCAAGTGACAAAGAGATTCTCTTCGCTGAATGTTTCTCTCTCTTCCCTTTACCACACGTAAGACGAAGCTCAACAACCTGAAAGTGCTCACAGACTGCATAAAGCAAGATTTTGTGCACGCTTGTGCAGAGAACTGGAAATCACAAAAAAAAGCGTAAAGGAATTTACAGATGCATACACACAATATATTTTGAAATTCAGTTTTCATTTGAGGGTGTTTTCTATATACATTTTGTAAATGTTTACAAATATAAATGTGTGAACAATTGTATGCTTACAAACATATAAATCTATAAACATTTACACACTATTCACATATTCATTTATTAATTTACGTTGTGTAAAGCTATTTTAAAACCCTGTTGAAACAACTTGACAGTGCAGAAGGTCAATTTCTGCCTAAGCACAGAAGGCATACGAATATTTTGCTGTTCCATGGGAATTTGTCCAAACCATCCTGAGCACTTCAATGGGCAGCTGCATGGTGGTGCCTCACGTACTGACCTGTGTAGTCGAGGTGCCACAGTGCTTCTAGTCACAATAATTCTCTTGTTAATAGGTGGGAAATGTAGTGAGAGTTGGTTAATTACAAAGCGTATTAACAGCTAAAAAGACCAGAAGTCATATGAACCTTATGCAACTGAGCGTTGCTATTACATTATATAATTGAGTCTAAAATAGATGTTTCAAAACCTCATGAAACCTTTATCTATGATATTCTATTATAGATTCTCTAACCAGAGGAATCTGAAAATTCATTGCAAGTTACAGTTGGAAGTCTGTGTAGCCTGAATTTCCCTCTCTGTGCCTGTAATTTATATACACAGCAGTTTAAAGTAAAAAATAAATTTAAAAAAAAATCAAGCAATGAGTGCGCACACACACAACTGTGTTACCTTAGCAAAGACTCTGTCCGCACGCCTTTGTAATTTCCGCACACATAACAGATTTTGCTCTAGGCTCAAAAGAATTGAAAAAGCACCAAGTTGATCAATGCTGTAATTTACTAAGCAGCTAGATTCTTGGTTCTACTCCGTGTGATCATGGATGTTCATGAGCTCCTTCATACACCACCTAGGTTTTTTTTGGTTGGTTGGGTTTTTACACTCCAGAAGCATCACAGGCACAAGCAGCTTAAGCAAGTTTCATGCAGAACCACATGAAAACCTCTGAGCCAATTTACGGAAATTCCTAACTTTTTGCACCACATTATGTAGAGGAACTCTAGCATTACAGGGCACAGCAAAGAGACTGAGCACCTCTCAGGTTTGGGGAAAAAAGGATATCTCTGATTCTCCGAGTCCTCCGTTAGCAGCTTGAGGTCCAGGGTGCAGCTTTGGATTAGCTCATCCAGTTTCTTCTCTTCCTGAGTCAGTTCGGTCACCTCCTTCGTGAGGCCTTGACGCTGCGCGAGCATGCCACCGTCCTCTGACAGACTGCAGCCCCTACAAAGGGAGAAAATTCCCTTTCAGCATCTGTAAAACTTGGCCCTATGCTACAGGAAAGGGGAAATGCAGGGATTTACTCTGTGAGTTGGGTTCTTCGCCCTTTGTCCCTAAGCCTGCCCTTAGCGAGTCAATATAAACTACGCTTTTCCAGGATGCCATTGGCCAAGAAGGTCAGTGGCATCCTGGCTTGCATTAGAAATAGTGTGATCAGCAGAAGTAGGGAGGGGATTTTCCCCCTGGTTTTCACAGCAAGAGTAGTCAGCCACTGGAACAGGGTGCCCAGGGAGGTGGCTGAGTCCCCATCCCTGGTGGTGTTGAAAGGTCCTTTAGATGTGGTGTTGGGGGAGATGGTTTAGGGGTGAGCTTTGTAGAGTAGGGTTCATGGTTGGACTCAATGATCCCAAGGGGCTTTTCCCACCTGAATGATTCTATGAAAAGGCGTCTTTATTTATCACAACACATTTCAGAATTGCCACCGTGATGGAAAAATCAAGTATTTCTAAGCACTTCCAAAACCTTGCTTCTAGGTCCCCTCTATTCTAACCACACCCTGAAAAACACCAACAAAGGCAACAGAGACATATGGCCAAAAACTTACTCCACTTGCAGAAAGAAGCAAACAAGTTAATCCAGTATTCAGACAAACTGTTGGTTTCTAACTTCCCTGAGAAACACTATTCATACACTGAAAAGTTGTCTTAACAGAACAAAAAAGAAAAAAAAAGCTTTATCCCAGTGGAAAGCATTTTAGATGATTGCTCCGAGCAAAGCATTAGAATGGAAGGTGGGAAAAGAAAAACACTGCGGCTCTGTGACAGTGAAATCGGCCAGCAGTAATGGAAAGGGATAATGAATACTCACATCCACTGAATGTTGTTTTTGGATTTTTTCTTAATGAGATGGATGCCTTCCAGTACATTGGTGATATCATAAATCCTCCTTTTTTGCACCTTGAGGACCTCTGCTGCTCTGTTCAAATCTAAGACCCCATCAGGGGATTGGCTCAGCAGCTGAATGAACTTCTTTGTAAGAAGGCCAAGTGATGTATCATACCGAGTCTTTTCTGAAGGAGATTTTGGAGCTGGGAAAAAGGAGAGGGAGGGGGAAAAAAAAAAAAAAAGCAAAGAACAAACAGATAAATCAGTTTTCTTAATTTTGGTTCTGAAAGCATCCAGAAACGCAAAGAGGCATATTTCTTTCATTTTTACTAGAGAAATCTCTCAAACCTCTGCATTAAGACACAAGTTACCTCTAGGTATTTATTTGTATTTCAATATGTACTTTTCCAAAAGTCACAGGTACATGAGCAAACATATACATTTTTTTTTAAATGCAAATATTTCCACTAGTCTGATGGATACATGTAGCAAAAGCCTGAGCAGAACACTGCTATGTGAATTCTTCACAGTATATTTAGTATCTGTTTATCCTGGCAGCAATACCAAAAATTCCCCTGTGACTCTCCTTCATCAGGCCGATAGCCAGCTTTCACCAGGGTTTGGTTTTTCCCCTCTTCTAAGTTAAGTGTTTCGCATGCAATTAAGCAGGACTTAGGTGTACTTCAGTGGGTGAACACAATGACAGATTCCATCAGCGCCAGGCTCCACGGCTTAACAGAAAACTCAAGCGAATTAGAGGAGACTGACCTAAGATACAGTTTATAATGACCATTTCTCTGGAACCAAACAGTGCTCAAACCGGGCAAGACGACCCACGCCTTCTAAACTACAAGTCAGCTCAGATCTTACCAGACAACTCGCTGCTTTCAGGCACAAATGCAGCATCTACATATTTAATAGATGTGCTTTTTAACAGTTTATATGCTTAGATCAGAACAATTTCTAAGAACAAACATTCGAGGCTTTTGACCCAAAGGAAACGAGCCATTATTCGAAGTCTGCTGGGCTGGTACATCTCAAACCTTTCATTCCCTTCAAGTATGACACGGGACGGATGTTAAGCTGATCTGGTGGTCATTCTCACGTTCGCAAGGCTCAAGTCCCGTGTTTAATTGCAGAAGCTGGTCAAAAACAAAATCCTACCCAGAAGGAAACCTTTAGACTGAAATATTTGGAAGAATGTGGTGGTTTCTCAATGAAAACCAAGTCCATGCCTGCCTGCAAAGGGAACTGGCTAGCTGCGCCTCGTTCTTCGGTAGAACGAGCTTCTTTGGTAGAGCCAAAGGCCGAGGCACAGCTGGCTGGTTCTCTCTGCAAGCCCTGGTTCAGGGCTTGGCTGCACTGGGAAACAGAGGAACACACTCATCACTTGGGTGACCTTGCGAATTTACAGCAGGGTGGCTTCTGTTTGTTCATTTGTTTTTCCTTTAATGTTTGGAAAACGAATCAGAGGCCCAGAGTGACAAGGGCAAGAGAATGCTTGACCACCCCTGAACAGGGCACATGCACCAACAAGTCCTCTGAACGGCCTTACGGACACCGCAGCAACACCCCGGGCTCCAAACGGCACAGAGCTTCTGTGAGAACGTGCTTCAGTTTCCAGCGGACTTCATTTTGCTCAGTCAAGTTTCTTTAAAACTGTGGCTGTTTAACTTGTACACCTCAAGTTCATATCTTCAGCTAATTTCACTTGTCCTTTCTGTCTCAATAGAAACAAGCACTCCGAGCGGTGAGGAGGGACAAGGAGGGATCCCTTCACATCCGCTCTCCCATCACTACCGCTGCTGCTCTAGCCTTCTACTGCAACTAAGCAGTGGCAGCAGTAATATTACAGGGAGAGAAGGCAGCTCGGAGCCCACAAAAATCACTTCCCTCTGCCTAAGAACCGTGCGTGTGATCCCACCTAGCACCTCCGTTCTTCAGCGTCTACCTCTCCTAAGCATCCCCAACATCACATGCTCAGCCAAAGAGGAGGTCCCCAGCAGGCGCAGGGATGGGTACGCGGCACGCGCGTCCGGGTGAGGAGAGCAACAAACGCACTTTTGAGCTCAACAAGGCAGCTTGTTGTACTGGGTTGCTCCGATCTCAAGCGAGTAAAATAAAAAACTCCGCCCCACACAGCACGTCACAGGTTCCCCTTACTTTTTGGGCTATCTGGACTTCTTGTTGCAGCTCTTCCTTTCCCCTTTGGAGTCTTTAGTCCTTCAGGAAGATACTGGTGGCCGCTTTCTCCTAGCTCCAGCCTTCGTTTTGCCTGTTTGAAAAAACACAATTGTTTTTTTCTGGGTTTTTTTAAGAAGTTTATTTCACTGTGCCAAACACAATATTGGGGCTATAGGAACGACGGGCAGCAGTGAACTCTTCAGAGCAAGGTACCAGTATAGGTTTATACCTCGTATTCGTCACAAGGGAATTCACATATTTACTGGAATCCTAAAGTGGACTTAAGTCACTCAAAAGCTACATTGATGGGGGTTTTATCTGATAATTCAGCCATTTTCTTAATTTGATAAGCTGAGTGACAGTCGTATGATCTACTTCAGTCCAGTCTGGATGTTCTTAAATACACATGAAAGATTTCTACCCTCACCTGAGAACACTTCAGTCAAAAAAAACCAACAGCGAATCTTCCGAGCACACCCACAAAACTACATTTCTTTTGGAAAACCCCCTTACACCCACCTAAGTGGGTGCACAGGTAACATCAGCACAAGTTATGTTTTTCCTTCGCTATTTGAAAGGCTGGTTTGGAAAAGAGTAGTAACCTGCCCTGCTATAAACTTTCCATCAACGAAATGCAAGGTATGACATCAAGAGCAGCACTGGACAACTGTTCTCCTCTGCTTTTTTGTCCTCACAGAAAGCACAACCACTACATATATTTCACATTAACCAGCATATTTGGGTTAGGGCTGCCTGCATAAAAAAGCAAGGTGGAACAAAAGTGGTACGAGAAAGATGATGCCCGAAAATCTGCTAAATGTTGCCTTCAGCTCAAAGGAAAGCTGTCTACATCCCGAATAATAAAAATGATGAATGAAACTTAAACTGTGCAATGCACAAACTGCAGTGAAATCCACCACCAATATGAATTTTGTTCCTAGACAGAAACACAATCTACTATCTTTGGAAACAATTCTATACCCTGCCAGGCTACTCAGGTTGCTGAAATTAAATCTGGGGATACTTGTTCTCCTAACAATAGGAAGAACATTACCTGGGAAGACACACACACACACACACAAAAAAAGTTTACGTCTACTGAAGCTTAGCCAAATAAGTGTTTCTGAAGAATGTTGTTTATTCAGTTAGGTAGAATAATTCATATTTTCTTGCTCTTTAGACTTGCCCCAAAGGGTTGGATCATATTCTGCTCCTCAGGGAACTAGGACAAAATACATTCTGCTGTGGTGTTGTAGACTTATATCTCTGTATTGCGGATCAAGCTCATGCATTTTACTTTTGAGTCTGGGATCCGCAGAAGGCTCTAAACCAACTAATTTATATGCATTTATTTACGGAGAGCTGACTAATATCCTTGCACTGGACTCTGTTTGCAAACCTCAAACTTATTAAAAGGCAAGTTAAAGCACATGAAACTTAAATAAGCCCACGGTCTAACTGCATGTTCAGAGTGCTTGAGCCACTCTACGTTTCATGGGAAGGGACAAGGCAATAATTCTTCTTCGGTGACAGAGCAAAACTGAGCTAACCGCATCCTTCTCACCGACGCGGGCACCCGGCTCTTGCGGCAGCTTCTGAGGGCACGAAACACCTCTGGCTCCCTGTCACCCCGAGCCAGCAGCTCCCTAATCCAAGGACACAGATTTTGAAAAGGTCAACTGTTAACAAAAGCATCCAGCTAATATGTTTAGCCAACGGTAATTGGATTAAATTAAGATTACAGCTATTCCACAGGGAGAAATACTTATATCGAAAACAAGTGTGAAATGGAAGTGTTTTTCCACCCTGAGAGCTGTAAGAGAAAAGGAAGGAGGGGTGAAAAGGGAACAATTCAGGGCGTGGGAAGACTAGGCCAAAGGGATACAATTAAAGATAAAAGAGAATCTCAAAACCAGGTGTGAGAAGGAGGGGAAACACTAAAGACTTAACATCCCAAGATTCGCAGAAACTAACACATCAAAACTTTCTGCCTCAACTTGTCTGCAAGACACAAACAACAGGATTTTGCCCCAGCTTTTGCGGCTAAACACTTGAGAACATTCTCCTGCGAGCTTCAAATGATCGGGTTTGGCAGCACGAGAACATCGGCGGCATCCTCCGGCTGCACGTGGCGGCTGGCACGAGCCCGGCCGGGCATGTTAGAAACACCCTGCTCATGTCAGTCCCACCACGACCGGCCTCCGGGTGAACACCAAGAGACAGAGGCGGCGCTCAGAGGTGGTCATTTGGTAGGGCACGAACCACACGGACAACCTGAGAGAGATACAGAGCAAAACATCTTCGAAGGGCTTAAGAGAGTTCGGCGAAGGTAATTTCGGCAAACCCCGGGGAAAACATTTCGTTTCGGGCCAGATGTTCCACGTCACTCAGCCAGTGCTCTCTTCTCCTTCCCTTTTTACCAACTTCATAAATAGTAACATGCAGGGCTGAAGTGATCTATTCTCCCCATTTCTTTTTCCCTCACTTACAGATTAAAGATTTTTCTTTGCATTAGAGCTCCTGGATGACTCTCAGTTTCTCGCTTCCGATCTCCAAAATTATTCATCGGGCTTTCTGGTATCAGACTCGCCTTCAGAAACCTCAAGATCCCTGTTCAGCAGTCAGCAAAATCAACAAGCTTTTTAAAATAAAACTCTTGATTTGCATAACATTTCTGCTACAAGTGTTGTTGATGTGCCGATTTGCACTCTTTGTATAAATTCGTATTATTCGTCTTTATTTGGGTCATTTGATTAATCTTACCATGCAGACTCTTCTGACGCAGCCTGTGGGACACGCTAAGAACCAACAAGCCAAAGGACACCAGCACAAAGCATCCCAAAGACAGGGAAAGGTAGGAGGCACAAGGACTGGGAACTTCTGGGTGCAACAACTGGAAGTCGGTTTTCTGAGGGGATTGTGAACAGGTCGCAAAACACATCAGTGGCACAGGTAAAGCCACAAATTGATGCATCCAGCAAGAGACGTAAAGGTAACGGGAGAGCATCCAGCTGAGCTGAGCCAGACGCCTACCTAGCTCCTTGGTGGAGACAAAAAATGTGGCATCAAGTGTTTTGACTCACTTTTCCAACACTAGGAGCAATTCCTGATATAGATACAATGATGGATCCACCACTCGGTGCAGATCACTAAAAACAGGTGACACCTGGACTCCTATGTAGCTGTGCCCTTTTAGCTTTAATCCCTTTATTGGAGGAAAAAAAAATAAAAAAGAAAACAGACAGCTACCACAACAACCATCCCAGGCAAACCCACAAGAATGTCTTCATAAGAACACTTGTCTCCATAGGAAAATAGTTTAAAAACTCCTAGGATAAGCTAAGTATTTTCAAGTAGGCCGTTCCTGATGCAATTCACTTCACAATACTTGGTCTCAGGGATTAACTTTTAAGTTGGAGGGAGAACAAGAGTAACTGTGTTTTTCATGAATTGAAAAAAAGAGGTAAAAGGGGAAATTACAGCCCGTTCTCTGTAACGGGCAGTTCTGACTTCACAGCTACCTGGGTCTAACAGGTCGCTGCCACCACCTCTTCTCCTGCATCCTCCCTCCATCCTCATCAGCCCCCACGGGGAGCCAGCTCAGAGGGTCACAAGAGCAGAAACCAAGTCCTCCTCCAAGACAGGAGTGAGTTTTCTGCCAGGTTAATCCTCCTGGGCAACCTGCCTGCACCAAGAGCTGCGGCGGGGGAGCGGTGGGACACTCCCTGCACCCCTTGGGGCATCACAGCTTGGCATTTGAGTGGCTTCGCTTCTGCATCACACCACAATCA